GCTCAAAGCAGTTTTCCTAGGAGAATCAGTATTTAAGGTTTTCACAACCAGTTTATGCTTCTTGGTTCATTCCCCCATTTAAGGGCCATGGGGAAAATATCCAAGATGCTTATAAGGAAAAATGAGTTCGCAGATTGTGTCCTCTTTCATGTAGGTGATTTTTTTGCCATCATCTAGCTGTGTGAGAGCCGGAGAAAGAAGGGAACTAAATATTCATTCTTCAGAGTTACTGACTGAGGAACTAATTGCTAGGAAGTGCCACAAATACGCAAGGCCAAATTGCTTTTTAAGTGTGATAGTTGTGGTAACTGAAAAATCTAGAAGCAATGCAAATATCAAAATGATTTACATTTGGTCCATCCACTCTGGACTATTATGCAGTCGTTAAGAATATTCAGAAAGACTGTAGCAACATGAAAAAAGGCCACGATACGTTAACAGGGGAAAAAAAGGAGGTTATACATTAGATAGAAGGGAAGTGAAGAGTAAAAGATGTCACGTACAAAATTTAAAAGCTACGAAGAATCCTTTTACTTATTCAATGAACAAACATTTATTAAGCACCTTACATCCCAGGCACCAGGTCAAAAAGAGAAGGTTCCTGTAGAAGAAATTAGTTTGGAACAACAGATTTAACAGGATAGAATAACATTACCCCTTCTCACAAAGAGCCACGGTGCTCACACCTTTTTTTGGTTTAGGTTGTCTCTTCCTCTGTTTCTACAGTTATTTTAACGTAGCAGTAATTTACAATTGCTGCTGCGAAATTCACCTCCGATTCTTCGTCCTCCTGCTGTTGACGTTTACCGCGTTCCTGCCAGTGTGTGTGCCCGGTGCGGTGGAGGAGGGGTAAGTTAAGACCTGACGTCCCAGCCCGGCAGGGCCTCTCCATCTCGCAACAGGGAAGATAAATGGCTCTAATCCAAGCCTGACTTTGGTAAGTGTCCAAGGGTAAGGCGTTACATTAGAAGGAAAGAAGCGGTCTGGGAGTGTCGAGGCGTTTTACCAGGACCTTGCCGGGAGGGAAAGCAAGGCCGGGTAACGGGACAAGGTGGGCAGGCGGCTGAGGCTGCGAGCACAGCGCGAGGTGGGAGGGTAGGCGCGCGCGCCTTGGGCTGGCCCCGCCCCCCTGAGGCGGGCTCTGCGCGCTGACTGGCCTGCGCCGGCCTCGCTCCGGGTTGGCGGGCAGTCTCCGAGCCCGCAGTGCCGCGGTGAAGTAACCTGCGAGCAACCGTCTGAGGCCTGGGGCGTCTGGGGAAGGCTGCCCGCTGGCCCGGCCCCCGCTCACCAGCCTCGGTTTTCCGCAGGTACTCTCCGCTCGCGCCCCGGCTTCGGGCCTCGCCCGCAACTCTCCAGTTTTGGTTGTGCCTGGTTCCTCCGTCCCCTCTCTTCCCCAACGACGCCGCCCTCAGTGTGTGAGACAGCGGCGGCGTCTTGGCCCCTTCCACCCGTGAGTTCCCCGCTTCAGGTGCCGGCGGGGAGGAGGGGCGTCGCGGTCGTACGCCGCCTGCCGGCGCAGGGCCGCGGGGCCGGGGACGGCGGCGAAGTAGAAAGAGGGAGGCGGGGCACCGCCCTCGACAGGGTTTGTCGGGCTTCGCCGGCACAGTGCTCTTTGGCTCAGCTGGTCGTGCTCACTAGTGGGCGGGGGAGGGGAGGGGACAAAGGGGGTAGGGGACAAAGGAGTGGGGAGGAGATTCGTCCCCAAGTGCTGGCCGTGCCCTCTCCTCAGCGGGCGCTCCCCTCCTCGGGAAGGAAGGCCCTTAGGAAAGAGCTCGTGCCTTCCCGCAGCCCGCCCGCCCACCTGCCTTTACCCTGCTGGGCGCCGGATAGTGGTATTTTGAGTTCGTCCTGCCTCTTCTCGAGTCCCATTAAACACATCTTTTTTTCGCAGGAGCATCGGCACCAGAATCCTGAGACCTGAGCTGCTGTATCTCGGTGCTATGCCCTTGGCCTATTTATCAAAATTTACTAATGTCCCTTTCTTACATTTCCAGAACGACTGGAGGCCAACTAGCTTCTATTAAAAAAAATAAAATAAAAAAACTTTAGAAGTAATTTAACATTTAAAGACTGATAAACCCATGCTATGTTAAAATTGAGATCCTGTCTCTTTACAAATTTTATTATCATGAGCACATTTAAAAAATACCTCTGGTCTCTGTTACCAATAAAATTTTAACATTTAAATTACATGTATTAGTTGAGGTGAAATTTGGTTTTCTGTCATATTGGGACTCTTCTTTCTTTCGAAGACACCCTTCCTGTAAAAAAGATACAGTAATAGTGCTGCCATGTATTGAGATTTTGCTAAGCATTCAGCACTGTGCATTATCCATATAGTTCCTTTCCTCACTAAGCCTACAAAATATGTATTATTAACAATGCCTAGTAAGTAACTTTAATTGAATACTTACTATTTACCAGGTTCTAAAAAAAATAGCTGCTTTTATTATCTCAATATCACAAGTGAGAAAATGGAGGCTCCCAGAAGTTAAATAGCCTAAGACCCAATTGCTAGTGAGAATCAGGTCTTAATCCAGGTCTATTCTCCAGTATTTTAACGTATATTCTCAGGTGGCTCTGTCCCTCTGCCTTCTGTCGTGCTGAAAAATCCTCTGTCTTAAAAAAAAAATTCTTGGGAATTCTCCTGTGGTCCAGTGGCTAGGAATCGGCGCTTTCACTGCCAGGGCCCGTGTTGGATCCCCCCTGGTCGGGGAAATAGGATCGGCAAGCCGCGCGGCCGGCCAAACTTAAAAAACAATAATAATAATTTGACTGTTGTCATTCTTTTAGTATGTCTAAATGAAGAGCAAAAATAGAAGTTACCTCAAGTTGGAATTTGACCAAAATGTTGCATTGATAGCTTCTCTCCTTAAGGTCCTTCTCCATAACTCTCCTGCCAGTGTTTGGTTATTAATCTCAGTGAATCTCTATTTGAGGAATTTCCTCCTCTTTCTGTTTTTTCAAATTTTATATGAAGCAGAATAGTGTAAAACATATTTATATTTTTGATTGATAGAAAATTTGCATTCTATTTCATGATATATCCAAGGTTGTTTTAACAAAGCAACACTTTTAAATTACTTAAAAGTATAAGTAACTTAACTTATTTTAAGTTACTTAACATTAAGTAACATTAAGTAAAACTGACATCCTGGAAGATATGCCACAACTATTCTATATTCTGGCACATCTGTCCCGCACTCCCCCAAGCCTGCCCCCACACCCCAATGTGAGAAGCCTGACTATTTAGTTTTTTCCATCTAGATTTGTAAGGTTGCTCTTTCTTTGAGGGGGAAAAAAAAAAAAGATGCAGATGAGACCTCCAGCTGTCTCTCAGATGAGGTGGGCAGGAAGTAGCAAAATGTTCTTAACACAAGTCTCAAGGCTCAATTAATCACCCATCCCTTTTTCTATGGAGTTTGTAGCACTCCCCCACCCTCAACTCCATAATTGCCTTCGATTTGCTTGGACCTTAGGATCTAGGAAGAAAGATGAGAGGAGGGAAGCAAAATAGAGGGAGGAGAAGCAATTATAGAATTAATATAATTTACTCTGCCTAGTTCTTCATAATCTAGCCCTGTACTGTCTAATATGTGGCTGTTGAGCAGTTGAAATGTGGCTGGTGCAACTGAAGAATTGCATTTTTACTTTTATTTAATTTAAAATTAAATACTGAAGGAGTGTAAAATATTTTTTCCTTATGTACCACATCATTGTTTTGGTAAGACTACATTTCACTTTAACTGTTGGAAATTTAGCATCCAAAATTGAGATACACTGTAAGTGTAAACACCAGATTTCAAAGACTTAGTATGAAAAAAAGAATGTAAAGTATCTCATTAGTTTTTATATTGATTACATGTTAAAATGATATTTTGGATATACTAGGTTACATAAAATACATTCCTAAAATTAAATTCACTTGCTTATTTGTACTTTTTAAATGTGGCTTTAGAAATATAAAGTGACTCACATTATACTGGACAGTGCTGACCTAGCCCCACTATATCCAATCTTATTTTCCATTCCTTCCTTCAGCAGGGAAGTTTCTGAGAGTCAGGAAGGAGAATCTGTACCTGACTCCTTGAACATCAAGGGAGGCATGGCTGCCTGGGTCACTGTGAGTTATGGATTCAGAGGTTCTCATTAGGGTCTTAGAGTAGTTTCCTGCTTTGGCTATTCATAACTACATTTCCTATTACCCTATAAGTACTTTGACCATAAAAGTAATGCTAACTAGTAATCACGTGAACTAATTACCACCAAACATGGTAATGATTATGCATATTGTTACATATTGATGGATTAACTTTGTTTCAATTTTTATTAGTCTATAACAGTTTACATTCATTCACACTGGTAATTGGCCACTCAAATAGCATAGTCATACACTCACAACTTTAGAAATTAAAGTGACCCTACCAAATGTGAAATAGATAGGTAGTGGGAAGCAACCACATAGCACAGGGAGATCAGCTGGGTGCTTTGTGACCACCTAGAGGGGTGGGATAGGGAAGGTGGGAGGGAAACGCAAGAGGGAGGAGATATGGGGTTATATGTATATGTATAGCTGATTCACTTTGTTATAAAGCAGAAACTAACACACCACTGTAAAGCAATAATACTCCAATAAAGATGGTAAAAAAAGAAGATATTAAAGTGACCAATTTATGAGAATCCCTCAATGCACTTTATACCATGCATTTCTTTGCTAGAATTGTATTTAACTTTTCAATAAATAACAATCAATGCTTGTTGAATCAGTGAGTTTTATAACATATCAAGGAATTAATCAGTTAGAAAATGTTTTTTTGTGTGTGAGATTGCTTTTTAATATAATAATTGATGTTGATAATAATTTAGTTCTGGAAGTAGTTTGCCTTATTGTATAAAAACTTTGAGCTGACATAATAATATGATAAAATTGTCAATACAAGCAGAATAAAAATTATCAGGAAAAAAGAATACCGCAAATAGATTATAAACTCAGCATAGTTTCTATAATTTAAGATTTGGTTTTGAGTTCCCTAGTAGTCAAAGCAAAATACTATGCAGCATCTTATTATTTGGGAAGAGAAGGCATATCAGTTACCCAAAGGAAGCATAGCTTTTCTTGGCACTAAATTCTAAAAGCAGTTTCTCATGTGAGTCATTGTCATAACTAACATTTTAGTAGCAAGTTCAGTAACATTTCCTATGACTGCATCTGATAGTGTCATCCAATCTGTTGTTTTTATATAGAAGTGAACAAGAGTGTGATAAGTAACTGTGTGTTTTATTTTTACAGGAATTGTGGGAAACCAAAATGAGGCATAATCAGCTATGTTGTGAGACACCACTTACTGTCACTGTACATGTAAAATCAGAGTCAATTAAATCACATCAGCCTAAAAAACCCATTAACCTGAAGCGTCCTACTTTTAAAGATAGTTGGCCAGCATCTGAAAAAAATGCACATAATAGCAACAAGTCTAAACGCCCCAAAGGACCCTGTCTAGTTATACAGCGTCAGGAAATGACTGCTTTCTTTAAATTATTTGGTAGGTTTAAAATATTGTAATAGGGGTAATTATAGAGTACTTAAAAATAAGAATATAAGATCTATTTTATCATTTTTATAATAAAGAGGATACTGTTATTTTCTATGTCAGATTTTCTGTCTCCAACCAAATTTGCCTTTTGTTTTCTTTAGTCCTTTTTTCCCCCTCAATGCTGGATTTTTGTTTGTTTTGATTACTTTTAGAGTAGAAATTCATCATCTAGCTTTTAGACTACTTAAATTCAAGTGTCAAATGTAAATTCTGGGCAGTTCAGGGTCATAGCATGAGTTTTGTTTGACCTAAAGTATAAATACTACATAAAGTCTCAGGTGAGCCAACTGACCCAGTGTCACTGGGCCTGAGGGGTTTCCCAGGACTTTCAATGCTGAAACTGAGCAAACTGGCAAGGTTAGTCAACCTAGAGAAGTTTCAGTATTATATCTGGGGAATATTATTAAAAATTAACTATGCTTTATCATCATGCTCATATAATGAAATTGAGTTTGAATTTGTTCAGATCATGAAACAGTGCTACTTTGTTAATAAGCTTCTTAAACATAGCCAAAAAGAAACTTCTTTATAGTACTTCTACTGGCCAAGAAAGAGGATTGGTTTTTGTTTTTTGAGGTAAGGCAGTAAGGTAGACGGAATAAAGGGTTGGATAGATGGATTCTGGTAAGTTATCTGCGGGACTGAATCAAATCAAGTAGCTATCACAGTCTGGTAGATCCAGGTAACAGCCTTCCTTGCTTATAGAGGAAAGCATATGCATAAAGGAGGAGAGAGTTGGGGACAAGAGTGTTTGCCCTGCTGAGAGGACAGAAATCTTTAAAAAAAAAAAAAAAAAAAAGGGGGGAATAACTATGCTTTATCATCATGCTCATATAATGAAATTGAGTTTGAATTTGTTCAGATCATGAAACAGTGCTACTTTGTTAATAAGCTTCTTAAACATAGCCAAAAAGAAACTTCTTTATAGTACTTCTACTGGCCAAGAAAGAGGATTGGTTTTTGTTTTTTGAGGTAAGGCAGTAAGGTAGACGGAATAAAGGGTTGGATAGATGGATTCTGGTAAGTTATCTGCGGGACTGAATCAAATCAAGTAGCTATCACAGTCTGGTAGATCCAGGTAACAGCCTTCCTTGCTTATAGAGGAAAGCATATGCATAAAGGAGGAGAGAGTTGGGGACAAGAGTGTTTGCCCTGCTGAGAGGACAGAAATCTTTAAAAAAAAAAAAAAAAAAAGGAGGGCAAGCTGGTTAAGATGTAAAGAAAAGCAAAATAAGATAAGAGAAGACAAAATGTAAATAATACAGGTAGAAAATGTTGAACTATAAAGATGTTCCTTGTCAGGATCTAGAATGCTGTTAATAAAAGTTTCCCTCTCTCTTTATTAAGAGTAGAGTGAAGTTATTACCCACAGACTTTATTATTATTCATAACTGAATGTGAGAAATAAGAGAAAATACGTGGCTTTACCATTTTAGGTAATTTAAGAAATAGAAATGGAATTAACAAGGCAGAAATTAATTATTCTCAAAAAAGCAGTACTTATACTTGGAACTTTCCATTTATTTGACTACATTGATGATATTTCTAGGATATAACAAGAAGTTATGCTTATTTAACTTAAAATGCAGGGGGAAATGGAAAAAAGTAGATCTTTCTCAAATTATATTCTGACAGCTACCCATATATTTTGGGATTATATATTTTAGCCTTTTAAAATTGAAATGAGTGTTTCTGACCTATTTTTTGGATGTTATTCATTTTTTAACAGTATGTTTGTTGATCTTTTTGTCATACTCAGTTTTTTCCAAAATTAAATGTTAGTTATAAATAACTAATGAATTATGAATCTCCTTTACATAGATTTTTCATGTGTATTTGGATAATAGATAATTGGACAGAGATAAGTAGGAGAAGAGAAAACTCAAAACTAAAAATACCCCGTACCTAAAAGGAGAAAGTAGTTAAAAAAAAAAAAGTAAAACATATTTAGAAAACAGAGTATTCATTGAGTCATTATGTCTTAAAGACTTATCTTTTATCAGATTCCATTTCCACCTGTTAAAGATTGATTTTGGAAAAAAAGGCTCATCTAGAGCTACCCAAGACATATTTCTAAAAGAGCTATAGAAATATTCAATAAATCAAACACTTCTATCATTCTTCCTCCAGTCTGGGCTATATATTAAGGCAAATCAGATGGGAAGCCAAAGAATAAAGCAGTAGCTTTTTGTACAGCGCTTGCAATGGCAAACACGCTAAAGAACTGAAAACTACACCTTGGGCAACCCTGCCATTTTTGTTTGATTTCTAAGCATCATTTGTCATCTCCTTATGTAAAAATTAATTCTTCAAAAGGAAACCTGTTTTCAAAAGACAAGTCATAGCTATCTTTTGTTGTAGATGACGACTTAATTCAAGATTTCTTGTGGATGGACTGCTGCTGTAAAATTGCAGACAAGGTAAATTTGTTAACAGTATAATCATTAACCAGCATTATTATGTTACTAGGCTATCAGGACTTTAATGAACCTTATTAGGATTTTTTATCTTATTAATTAAGGTTAGGAAAAGAACTAGCCTACATTGCTCCTTCAAAGTGGAATCCATTAGCATACAACATAGATTCATTCTGTCTATACTTGAGGCATTGTAAAATATTTTGATTAAATGACCTTAAACCCATATCTGTTTGATTTAAAACAAGAATCAATATAGACTTAATATGTTCTTTGTTTGGGTGGTTGGGGGGTTTTTTGTTTTGTTTTGCTTTTTTTTTTAATTGAAGTTTAGTTGATGTATATCAGTTCCAGGTGTACAATATAATGATTCAAAAATTTTAAAGGTTATACTCCATTTATAGTTATAAAATATTGGCTATATTAGGCTTAATATGTTTTGATCAGAATTATTACTTTTTATCAGGTAATAATATCTGAGATTCATTCCACTAAGGCAGTCTGTTACACATTTTAATATTTTGTAGATAATTTAGATAAAACAAATCCCAATAATCTTGTAGAGTAAAACTGGTTTATCATGTTCTTTATTTAGGAATCAGTGTTTCATAAAAGAACATCATGATGCTGACTTATATACTAGGGATTGTGATGTTTCTATACTATTTAGGTTTAGCTGATCAGTTAGAATTTCAGCTTTATAAATGTCATCTTAGACCAGTTAGTCATATCAGAAAATTCAGCATGACTTCATATTACATTTAAAATAACATGCTATGGGACTTCCCTGGTGGCACAGTGGTTAAGAATCGCCTGCCAATGCAGGAGACATGGATTTGATCCCTGGTCTGGGAAGATCCCACATGCTGCGGAGCATCTGGGCCCATGTGCCATAACTGCTGGGCCTGCGCTCTGGAGCCCGCGAGACACAACTACTGAGCCTGCATGCTGCAACTGCTGAGGCCTGCATGCCTGGAGCCCGTGCTCTGCAACGGGAGGGACCACCGCAGTGAGAGGCCCGTGCACCACAACGAGGAGTAGCCCCCCGGCGCTGCGACTAGAGAAAGCCAGCACACAGCAACGAAGACCCAAAGCAGCCAAAAATAAATAAATAAATAATGTGCCAACCAACAGAAAAGGGAATGAACAGAAGACTAGCTGATGATTAAATACCCACTAATTTCATATTGATGTGAACTCTTATTTTAAGCTTAAGATAAAAATAAAATCAGAGGGTTTTTTTAATTTTGAAAATTTTTAGAAAATTTCAAACATAAAACTTATAGTAGAGAGAATAGAACAAAGACCCTCCATGTGCCTGTCATCCAGCTAAAACAATGATCAACTCATGGCCATTCTTGTTTCTTCTAATCTCTCTCCCCAAACGTGGATTATTTTGAAGCAAATCCCAGACATCCTAACATTTTATCCATAAATATTTAAAGATGTACTTCTAAAAGGTGAGATCTTTTTAAACATAATCAGTGTCACTGATGCTTTTAAAAATTGACAGTAATGCCTTAATGTAAAATACCCAGTTCATGTGGAGTTCTGAAGTTTTAAATTTTACAATTTTAAGCACCTTACAGTAATTAAAGTTGTTGGACAGCAGGGGGCAGTGCCTTTAAAGTAACCAGGAGTACTGTATCTTAACACTCAATCTATCAAGAATCCTCTACTGAAAGTTACCTTGAAAATTTGGAATCACCTTTGTGGCCAAACCTGTGAAGGTAGCATGAATTAGGCATTTTATGAAAGGGAGTCTATTATCAATATATCAGTATCATAACTTGTTTTTAACTTGAACAGACAGAACCTGGCATGGGTCCTAATAGCAGGCTAGACATATGTCTTCCTAATAGTACATTTAAAACACTTTTATTCCAATGAAAATAGAGCCATGTTGTTCTAATTTCTGGTTAGAAGTTATTTTTCAAAAATTATTTTCAGAAGTGAGTATGGATGTCTGCAACTAACTCAAAGGGTTGAGGGGAAAAATTTTTGCATATACACATACATCAAGCCAGTGTGGCAACAGAAATACAATTGGTGAATCTAGGTGAAGGATGTATGGTTATTCACTTGATTATTATTTCAGCTTCTCTATAGGCCTGAATAGATGGCAATAATAAAATTTAGAGGTTAAAATTATAATTATAAAATTATAATTTAATCATAAATGATCCAGAACTATTTCTCACTGTTCATATGGATTAAAGAAAGCCAAAAAATAAGGACTCAAATAAATAGCTAATTCTATAATAAGGATAAATAATGCTTTATTTTAGCTTATAACCGTAACTATTTTAAAGCAGTTTTACTATGAAAGCAAAACATTAATATTAACTTTTAACTTTTTTCCCTATAGTATCTTTTGGCTATGACCTTTGTTTATTTCAAGAGAGCTAAATTTACTATAAATGAGCATACCAGGATAAATTTCTTTATTGCTCTGTAAGTATGCTTTCTACTAAGTGATTTTTGTGCTAGTTATTTATAATATATACAGTACCTTATTTAAAATGAGGCTGTTTAAAACCTGATGTATATCTTTGAATAGGCCTTCCTGTTTAAAAGCTCTATGTTTTTTTACTTTAATAGGATATTCTTATGTTCTTTTCACTGCTCTTATCCTGCCATATGCCTAACATTTATTATTCAGTATTCCACTTGTGTTTGTATTGTACCTTTCACATTTCCATAATTTATATAGTGTTCCACATAAATTATCCCAAATTTTCCTCTTTTGGACTTAGAGATTTTTTTTAAAGCCAGAATATTCTCTTTGAAATTTAATGTATAGTAAAAATTATCATTATTGCCCTTTTACACTGAACAGCTTGTGGAAAATGCTCTAGACATCTCAATATCAAAACCTTTTCTACCTGGTACCTGGATATAATGCTGCAGTTTGGAATATGTGAATATAATTTTAAGTACCTAACTAGGGAACTACATATAAAAATATTTAAGTTGAATACCACAACAACCGTTAGCACTGAAGAATTTATTTAAAGTCTGTTTAATTCAGAATCAAAGAGTGATTCAAGAAATAGGACTAGAAGAAATTATCTCTGCATGTTTTCAGCAGACACATTTCCCCATGCATAGGAAAATATGAACTCAATATAAAATTTGAGTTGATGATTGCTAAATGGGGGGGGGAATATAATAGTATTAGCTAATATTGAGTATCATGTGCAAGGTACCACAAAAATGTTTTCTATAAAGTCGTCTAATCTTCCCTATAAGATACATTTTTAAAATTATCTCCATTTTACAGATGGGGAAATTGAAACTGAGGAAGATTAAGTACTTTCCAAGGTCACAAAAGTTAATCAGCAAATTCAAGTGTGACTTGCTAATGGCCAAATTCAGCCATTTAACACTAAGCTGCTGTTTACATGTCTCTTAGTATTATATCTGTATGTTGATGCAATATCTATTTTATAGTTTTTTTTCTCACGTGAAAATTGAAAACAAACCAAAAGAAACTTTATTTAAATCTTACCAGATGCCCCAAATTGGATTTGACAAGTTTTGTAAAGTTATTACCAGCAAAGCACTGTGTTAGCTTACACTGTGTAGTAGCATGTCAGGTTGTGTTGCATGTTGTATTATAAGCTCCATATGAAAAGTAACATGAATTATAATTTACATTTTTATATCTAATCATTCTTTTGATACAACCTCACTCAATAGTTCTCATTAAATATTTTCTCAGCCACAGTTCTAACTCCTTTTCCTTTCTATATATTCTTATAACACTCTGAACTTCTATTATCATTTTCCTATATTCTCTTTCAGTTATGTATTTATTTCATACTTGATTGCCTTTTCTACTTGACTGTAGACTCCTTAAGGGCAAGGAATGTGTATCTTACTTTTTTTGCATACTTCAGTGGCTGACATAGGAGGTTCTTAATTCTTTATTTGAATAAACATAATTAACCCTATGCAAAAGAAATGGACTCTGCTCCAAGAAAAATCTATTTCAAATTAGAAGACAACTTACGTGTGTAAGAGACAGATATTTCATTACCTTGAGGCTGAAAAATTGTTAATGTAGAATAGAATCATAATGTGGTCCTGATACTGGAGTACCATAGTCCATTATAGATTTTTCATAATCTGCAAGCATGAAAGGGGCCAACCTCCAGCTCTATCTACAGTTTACTAAGAACTCTCAGGGACACTTAAGTGAGAAATTACTTTATGTAATTTCACAAAGGACATGATTTGACTCATATAACTGAATGGGTTTAACAATTAGGTGCTTTATAATAAGGTAATATATATATATAATGTAATATAAGGTAATGTTAAAATAGTTATTTTAAGGGAGGATAAAAATATGTACATACTCATTATATATTAATGTAACTAAATATGAATATGCACATGGTTAAAAAAATATATATAGGAGGGTATACAATTAAAAGTAAGTCTTGTGGGCTTCCCTGGTGGCGCGGTGGTTGAGAGTCCGCCTGCCGATGCAGGGGACACGGGTTCATGCCCCAGTCCGGGAGGATCCCACATGCTGCGGAGTGGCTGGGCCCGTGAGCCATGGCCGCTGAGCCTGCGCGTCCGGAGCCTGTGCTCCGCAACGGGAGAGGCCACAACAGTGAGAGGCCCACCTACCGCAAAAAAAAAAAAAAAAAAAAAGTAAGTCTTCCTCATATCTCAAGACCTTGACCTCCCTCCTCAAGGACAGTTAACAGTTTCATATGTATGTGTCTAGAATAATTTTCTATATATTAACCAGTGTGTATATTACATGAATAGAGATGTACTATACACTTCTGTGCCTTTAAAATTTTTTTAATGTGAAATATTTACAAAAGAGTATATGGAATGTATATGTATGTGTGTGTAAAAGAATAGAAGCAAAACAAATACTCATGTACCCATGACTCAAGAATAGAACATTGCCAGAATCTTAGAAACTCACAGCACACAGTTTCCCAATTAGACCCCCCTCCCTTCCACAAGTAATCATTTTCTTACTTTATTCTATGTATATACCTCTAAATAATATATTATTTGGTTATTCCTATTTGGGGGCTATATAATAAAATAATTATACACCATAATTACCATTATCATTCTTCTGTAACTTTCTTCTTTTGCAAATAATATTATTTTGAGATTCATTTCTATTGATACATGTAGCTATAGTTCATTTCATTTTCACTGCAGAATAATATTCTATTGTTTCTTATATATTTGCATTTTTCCTACCATCTTGTTGTGTATTTTGTGTATGTCCCATTTTTTTCTTTCTTCTTTCCTCTTTCCCCTCCATTTTTATCTTCTTTTTGATTGAGATTTTAATATTTTTACTTTTGACACCTTTTTTTCCTCTACATGTTTGGAAATCTTACATTCTATATCTATTCTTTTAGCAATTGCCCTAGTTATTTTTAATTACAAGACCTTTAAGCACTTTAACTCTAATCACTCTTCCCAACTTCTGTTCTCTTGTTTTGCAATTCTATTAGTTCTACCTGATGCCCTCCAAAAGGTTAGACATTATTATTGTTGTTTTATAAATTCAGCATTTGTTTAGATTTGCCCATATATCTATATATCTTTGATTACTATTCCTTCTTGCATCTCAAACCTTCTACTTGGGATCATTTGCCTTCCTTTCTGATTGCTTTTAAGACCCCCCTTTTCTTGGGTGTTTGTCTCTTAATTCCAGTATCTTCACACTTCAGGGACTGTTTCTGTTCATGGTGCCTTGTTCCCTTGTATGTTTTGTAATTTTTTTTTATTGTGAGTCGCCTGTTTTTCTTAGAAAGTCATCTATGGAGCTTGCATTGTTTCCAGTGGGAAATCTGCTCCATCCTTATCTCTGTTCCTGTGTTATCTAACATGTCTTATTTTTTTTCTCTGACTGCTTTTAAGATTTTCTCTTTATTACTGGTCCTAAGTAATTAATTATGATATGCCTTAGTATAATTTTCTTCATGTTTTGTGCTTTGGAGTTCACTGAGATTCTTTGTGGGTTTATAGTTTTCATCAAATTTTGAAAATTTTCAGTCATTATTTCTTCAAATGTTTTTTCTGTCCAGCCACCACCCTTTAGGGATTGCAATTTCACCTTTATTAGGCTGCTTAAAGTTGTCTCGCAGCTTATTGATGCTCTGTTCATTATTTTTGTTTCCTTTTCTCTGTGTTTCATTTTAGATAGTTTATATTGCTATGTCTTCAATGCACAGATCTTTTCCTCTGCAAAATTTAATCTGCTGTTAACCCCACTCAATGTATTTTTCATTGTACACATAGTTTTCATCTTTAGAGGTATACTTTCAATGTGTCTAATCTTTTTGAACATCTGGAATAATTATAACTGTTTTAGTATCCTTGTCTGTTACTTCTGTCATGTGGGTCAGTTTTGATTGACTGATGATTCTTCTTATCTGTCCGGTTTTCCTGCTTTTATGCATGCCTGATCCCCCCTCAGGTATTTGAGTGTAGGGA